TTTAAAAATTTTGACTTAAAACAATTCTAGAAATCTATTTATTTATGGATAAAGGGATTATTAGAGATTAATTTTAAAAAATCCTATGTTCATTAGATTTTTTGTGACTTAAAAGCGGTAGAGGAGTTCAAATGTGCAGTTTCAAGTTTATGATGTGGGGCTGCGTCTAATGTGCAAAAAGTGGCGGATAATCGTACTCGTACCGAGTCGTCTCCAGCAACTTTCAGTCAATTTTACTAAAATTTTAAGACGCATACTGAGTCATCTCCAACAAATATAAACGAGGCTTGGATAAAATTTGGCCTCTAGCTTTCGACATGCATGGGGCTCGCGTATATATCTATCATAAAATTGATATGTACATAGTAGCGGCAATCATACTGAGTCATCTGTAGCAAGAGTTTAGTTGGTTTAGCTAAAATTTTATAGTGTGAATGTGATGTTTTAATTCTAAAGTCTGGTTTTCAACGCGGGGATCGTATATGTATCTAGAAACATCAATTTTCATAAAAGCAACCGATAATCATACTGAGTCATCCCAGCAAATTTTAGTTGGTTTTGCTAAAATTTTAAGTCGTAGACGTTCGGTTTTTTAGTTACTAGACAGTGTTAGCGCCCGAACGTCCAGATGGACGTCCGTGGCTGCAGTCCGTTTCTGGGCCTGACATCGGTGTCTGTTGCTCCCAGAAAACTGCAACCCCCACTTCATGCCTGTGTCCCAACACCCACACCCCCTCTGCTTGCCGCACCCGCAAACCGCGCAGGACCGCCTGCGCCCCTGCTGCCATCGCCCTCCGCTTCCCGCGCCCAGTGTCGAGCGCTCCATCCCTTCGCTCCCTCACACGCATGCACGGTGCCCAAGCAGCTGCAGCAAACTCTTGCAACAAACGTCTGAAAAACAAATGATACATTTGGAGCATACACTTGAAACATATGTGTATATCCATTGTAACACGTGAAACATAACGGTCTATTTTTACAACATCAAGATGAAACACGTACAACGTCCAGACGAAATATCTAAAACACTTGCTACATAAGCTGCAACATGCGCTGCGTAAATGTTTTTTTTAAGGTCAACCGGGGGGAGGGGGGGGGGGGCTCCCCACTTGAATTTGTATTGCTCAGCCACTGCCTTCGGACAGTTATTGTTTACAGGTTACAATGTACATCTTTGATTGGGATCATTTTTCAGAGAGATAGATAGAGAGAGAGAGAGAGAATGCACAAGGTTCCTATTACATAACTGCTGAATAAACACCAATCCAAGTATCCGCAATCGCTCTATCCCTCCTTGTTAGCTTCATCCTCCACAGGTTTGCAAGTACCCGAGGAGCGGGGGCACGTCGGCAAAGGAGAGCACCGCCACGGCCAAGAGCTTCCACACGTCGAGGTCGAGGTCCCCGCCAAGGGATGTCTGCGTTGATGAGCGCCCAGAGGAGGTCGTCGTTGTCGTCCCCTGCGCCGCCGAAGACATCCGACTCGTCGACCACGCCGGCGTCGACGAGGTTCTGGGGGAGTGGGTGCGGCGTGGCGGCAAACGCGGCACGGAGCGAGATGGGGGCGCCGCGGCGCGCAACGGCGAGGTGGAGTGGGGCGGGCGCCCGATGTGGTGAAGCCACGACGATCGAAGCGAGTAGGGATTTCTGTTGGTGGGGGTTCTGTCGTGGGGTAGAGATGGAGGAGAGCGCAGAGGGAAATAGGCCGAATGCCTGTTGGGCCCGATCGCTGCGCAAGGCCGGGAACGTAGGCGACCGGACTCACACGCCCGGACAGACGTCCTAATCGTAGCATTACATTAATTCTAAGGTTCGGCTTTCAACGTAGGACCCACGTATATATCTAGTCATGGATTTCATATGGAATAGAGACATGATGCTTCTTATGTTGTTGAAATGCCTATGCAAATTTTTGTTTGTGGATATTTAGATGTGTTAGTGTAACTCTACTAATTTAAATTTGAATATGGACGACCGATTATCTCAAGTACATCAGTGCCCAAAGTGGAGCATAAACTATACATGCAGTTATCTGAAGAAATTAAGACAGAACAACAATACAGCATGTTAATGCAAGGGATTTCTTCGATATATTTGATTGACACCATCACATTATGCCACATTAGAACCTTCCAAATTCCAATGTCTTGCACTTTAACTCAGATAGAGAGTGCCCTGCACCATTGGCAGTAACTGGATGCCCTACATTATCAGATTCCCTATTCTGAACACTTGACAGTACCTGAACAGAGGTTCTGCAGATTAGTCACAATGAGGCATCTGCATGAAGCACAGGTTTTGGGTATCGCTGCACTGGGAGAGGAGATGGAGTTGTCCTTTGGTCCGAACAGCCACCTGCTCGCCAGGAGGGTTAGGTGCTCGGTGTTCCATTGCTCCAAGACGGACAACGAGTGAGTCAGGCCAACCGAGGAGGTGGATGCTGGATGGGAATGCAAAGGCAACACATAGGTTCAACGGAATTACCTTATGTCATCACTGACAGTGGCTTAGAGTAGGAATGTAGGATATTTAGATATGAAGTTTTGTCTTTCATGCCAGACTGTTTGTTTCTAATAAATCGAAATTCGAATTCATAGTTGAAAGTGCAACTTTGACATGTATTTTAGTCTTTTGGACACAAATGAACCAGGATGTAATCCGTAGCTGAAAGTGCAACTTTGACATGTATTTTAGTCTTTTGGCAACAAATGAACTAGGATGCATACCAAGACCTGAAGACCATCAGTGCCAAAGCCAAGCATAAGCAAAACACGTAAGTATGCTAAAACATACAGCAGCAGTACGGGGCAGGAAACTGATGCAGGTTAATCATGTTCACCCTTGTTTTTTTTTTTTTGGAATATTGTGTTCTTGCCCCTACTTTGATGTCCAATTGTGATTTTATCCTCGTTTTTGTCATCGTTGTGATTTTACCCCTGCTTTGTAACTACTAAGGCTCAGTTTACCCTTACTTTTAACTCTGTTAGTTGTATCTGGAATAAAAAAATTAAAAAACAACAAAACCCTTCACAGTAAGATCAAAGGACAACAATACCCCTTATCCACTCGTACCCTCCCCAATCCCCCGTCCTCTACCGTATCCTCTCTCCCTCCGGTCTCCTCCCTAGCCCGACGCGGTCTCCTCCCCTCCCGGCGCCCGACACGCCCCCTCCCGACGCGGCCCCTCGCCAACCCTCCCTCTCTCCTCCACTCTCCCCCACGACGGCTCCCGGCGGTGGTGCGCGATTGCCGCGAGCGCGGGCCCAGCTCCCGACGGTGGCTCCTCCCGGATCCAGCGTCGAGCAGGGCATAGGGCGCCTCGGCCCCTCCCGGCGGCACGGAGCAGCAGCAGCGGGTGGCGTCACGGATCCGCCCTCCTCCCCTACCTCCATGGCTCCACTGGCGGGTGGCGTCGCGGATCTGGCGGGATGGAGCCACCACGGCGTGGATCCGGCGGAGAGGTGGCCTCCGGCGGCGGATCCGGTGGGATGGAGCTACCACGGCGCGGATTGGACGGAGAGGTGGCCTTCGGCGGCAGATCCGGCGGGATGGAGCCACCACGGCGCGGATCCAGCAGAGAGGTGGCCTCCGGCGGGATGGAGCCAGGCCCCGTTCGTCGGCGGCAGCGCCAGCGGCGGGCGCGGCGGTGGCGTGGCGGCGTGGCGTGGGGTGTGCCGGCGTCGGGCGGCGGACGGCGGGTTCCGCTTCGCTTGCGTCTCGGGACGGCTTCACTGCGCGCTGCCGAGACCAACGCGTCTGCGACCGTCCGATCTTTGGGGCCCGCACGGTAGCGGTGTAGGTGGGGCTTCGCCAGCGCGACCGCCGCGCTGCCGTACCTCGCGCTGGGGGCTCCCGAGCATGCACCGTCCCTCGCCCGACGACGCTCTGCTGCTCGGGCGCGGACGACGCCGTCGGCGTGGCGGCGAACGCCTCTGCCCGTGGCGGCGTTGTTAAGGGACTCTTTGGTGCGGCACGGCGTCGGCGACTCACGCGTGCGCGCTCGCGCGGCCCAAACCACCGCGGCAACTTCACGTGCGGCGTCGTGTCCAGCGACTACAACATGTACTGCTGGTCTGCGGGCGCCGATGCCACGCCCGTGCCACTGCCGAAGATCCACCTCGGCGCCTACGTCAGCGACGTCAGCGCCTGCCGCCGGGGACGTCAGCTCCTGTGATTTGGACTATAGGAAAATTAGTATCAATCTGTAGGAAGAAATGAGTTTCTGTCTGTTTAGCGATTTAGCTAACTATGTATTCGATGATGTGATTTGCATGCTGTGTGGAATCATATGTAACAAGTTGTGTAATGATGCTGCCAAATTTTAAAAAAAAACAGGGGTAAAATCACAATGTATTCAGATAAGTAGGGGCAATTTCACAGGGGCAAACTTGTCTTTACTGAGCCCATTTGACACCATTACCTGCTGTTCACGGAATAGGGGTAAACTTAAGCTTCGTTTTCAAAAAATAGGGGTAAAATCAAAATTGATGACAAAAGCAGAGGTAAAATCACAACTGATCGTCAAAGAAGGGGCAAGAACATAATAGCTCCTTTTTTCTATATGTAAAGATAATATGTGTTTCATCCTGTTGCAGACATGCAGTGAAGTGCAAAGTACATGCATAGTCATCTGCCTACATCATCGCAGTATGACAGTATGTCATGTTCTTTAACCTCTCAATCTGTCACACAACATCACTGACATAGAACATCAACATCACAAACAGTGATTAAAAAACATCACATACAGTAAATGAATATCTGATGAGAGTAATTGAATAGATTACAGAGTTTCTTCATTATCCTGAACTATGAATAGACGATCCTTCAAGTACATGTTAGTACTCAATTTTCCAACAGTACCTGACCTAAGTGAATCGATGAGCCACAGAGCTCTCACGACCAGGTTAGGTTAGTGAATCGAAACTATTAAGTGCAGGCAATCTCAACGATCCGAGGCATGAAGTCTTGATGACAGCGACACCTTCCCGCAGTAAATATTCAACGTCCATGGCCACGGGTGACTGGGAAATCTTGCTCGCACGGCCGGCACCACCGGAAACTTGCCGCCATGATCCACTTCGGGCTGACCAGAAACTTGCCGTTGTCCCGCGCCCACCGCGCCTTGTCAGTCCCTGGATCCAGCGCGACAACATGGGTGACCGTGGCGTCCGCGTCGGCCGCGCAGACGGCGCCCAGCTGCTCGGCTAGCTTCCACATGGGGTGGTTCCCGGCGACGTCCTCGAGAGGGATGACCCGGCTGAACGCCACCGTGCAGCCGCGCAGCACCTCGCGCCGCACGGCCCTGATCACCTCCCTGACGTCGGAGCACCGGCCGCCGAGGACGGAATCGAAGAACCCCTGGTGGACGCGCGTCAGGACCTGGAGCGCCACGGCCAGCGCGCCGTCCTGTTCGCGCTCGTCGCGCCTCAGCTCTGCCAGGGAGCTCACCCCGTAGCCGAACGTCCGGCAGCTATCGGCGAAGTAGAGGTACCTGTCCATCAGGATCAGGTTCTCCTGGTGCTCCGGCCAGACGTGGCTGGAGTCGTCGAGGATCACCACAGCGGCGGCCTCGGCGCCCGGGACGACGTCGAGGCTCTTCCTGTCCCGCCTGGTGGACTCGTCGCTGGACACGACACGGCCGCCGAAGTAGGCGCCGTCCGGGTCCAGCAGCTTCACGACCGCCCTCGCGTAGCCCCGATCGCCAAGGGTGTATACGGACATCTCGAACATGGCGCTGGCTTGCTCCAGGAAGCCCCGCGCGAACGGGCGCAGCTTGGTGAGCATGCGAAAGTGGGCGAGGCCCAACCGGAAGAGGACGGCGGTGGGGTCACCCTTGGCGTGCCGCGTGAGCCCGTTGGCTTGCTCGGCGGGGGAGAGGTCGTCGAGCCCCGTGGAGTTGAGCAGCGTGTGGTCCAGGTCCAGGATGAGGGTCAGCTTCCTCGCGCGCAGGAGGGTCTCCAGATCGGACGCGCGGGGGATGCTCGTCGTCGTCGAGGCCGGGACCGCCGCAGGGCCCTTGCGGATCTTACTAGGCGCGCCTACTTCCGCGCTCCCCTCCTCCTTCGTCCCGCCCAGACCCAGGAAGGAGAGCACGCGGCGCGAGGGGCAGGGGGCGAGGGGAACTCTGGGGGCGGCTCCTTCCGCGTCCTCCTCCATTGCCCCGCAAACGAATCCGGGGTGCGGCGGGCAGTGCGCGTCGCCGTCCCCGTTCCCTCCTTGCTTGATCGTGCTCTTGCGGCGGCGACAGCGGCGGCGGCGGGACCCTCGTCCTGCCATCGAGGCGGCGGCCGAGGAACGCCAAAACGAAACGAGCGCGGGCGTTGGAGCGGCGTCGGTGGCAGGCAACTGTCGTTGTGCCGCTGCCCGTCTTCGCGGCTCCTTGCAGTGGAAGCCGCCACTTCGGATGGAAAAGGGAAAAGCGAGACGCTTGTGAGGCCCAACTCTCCCAGTTGTACCCGAGGCCCAGTAGAATGCAGCCCAACTCACCCAGCCAACGCAACCTCCCCAACTTCTCCCGTGCGTCGACTTTATATAAACAGCCGCCGCCCGCCGGCGCTCACATTGCATGCATCCGAGGACAACCGCCGGGGTCGATCATCTAATAAGTTCCTTGGACGCGTCTGCTGCAGGCCGGATTTGCCGGTGGTTCCGTTGTTGGTTTGCTAGAATCATCAGCTGCCACCGTTGATCCGTGTACCTGGTGGCGAATCACAATATCCGCGGGAGGCAAGCCTACAAGCTCCACCTCATCGACCCCTCAAGGTTTTTTTACCCAACGAAACCAAGCAATGGATCGGCAGGAGATAGCACAGCAAGGGAGGAATTTCAGCTGCCTCCCGAAGCCATGACATTCTATGGCCCCTGCTGCCAAAAAGGCCGTGGATACATGGATTTCATGCCCTTAGGCCAGGGGAATAACAAGAGCATCATCGGCATGGACCGCAAGTGCCGCACCATCCACTGTGACGCCGCCTCGCTCGCAGTCGGCGCCATGCCCGCGGCGCACGCCCCCAAGATCCTGCCCATCTCCGTCCCCGTCGGCGACAGCCTCTACGTGCTGCAGAGGAACCTGGCGCCGTGGGACCACCACTGCTTCGAGGCCCTCATCTACGGGGAAGGCCCCGAGTCCCGCTTCTTTCCGGACTGGTACTGGCACTCTCTCCCGCCGCCTCCCCATGTGAATGACAGCAGTTATGACGAGTCCCTCGAAGAAGATTACACCCCCAACGAAATCGACGGCCACGCGCTGATCGGCGGCTTGCATATCTGGGTGTCCACCACCAAGCACGCCGCCACCTACTCCTTCAGCACGGTGACCGGCACCTGGAGCAAGGTCACCAACTGGGCAATGCCGTTCAGCGGCCGCGCCGAGTACGTACCGGAGCTCAACCTTTGGCTTGGTTTCTCGTCTCGAGACAACCAGCTGTGCGCGACTGACCTCGCCGCCGCCACCGCGCTGCAGCCGCCGGAGGTGATTGGTCAGTGGGATGACGTTGCGCAGCCAGAAGAGTGGATCCCAGTGACGTCCAACATCGTGCCGCTGGGCAGTGGCAAGATGTTTATTGCGAAGTTTTTTTAGAACGGTGAGAAGAAAAGGCTCGGGTATGACTACCGGCCGGTGCCTCCACGATTTCAAGCGCGTTGCGGTGTTCGCCGGCGTCGAACTTGAGAAGGCAGGTAGTGAGCTGCGCATCCTGAAGCATAAGTCCATGCGTTACAACTATGACAACATGAGACCACATTGGGTGATCTGATCTATCTGATGGTTAGCTAAAGATCTGTTGCTCTCATTGTCTTCGATCTGAACTTTGTTTGCTTCCAAGTTCTGGCTACATTCCGCTTGTGTTCTGAACTGATCCCTTGTCATGTGTTGCAAGCTATTTGCCTATAGTTAATAGGCTAGTTAGTTAGTACTGGGAGTCAGGGATGGTCTAGTTTCATCATCAAGTGTTGGTTCATTGTTCTGGAATAAGTACTATAATACATCTGACTTAATGAGCCAGTGTTTTTTATAAGTTTTCTCAGATTTGATCATATGGTGCTGTGCAGGCCTGATTGCCTGAACTGGCTAGAAATGCTGTAATAAGTATATATGGCACGTGGAGAACTGTAGGCAACCTCGAGTTGAATAAGCCTCTGCCCGTTTGTAGATTCAGTTAAACGACCATTGCATCTCTAATCCCTGTCTAATGTTCAGTTTCATGATGGTCGGATGCATATGTTATGTGAGTGGGCAATTGTGTCCCAGTTAAAGAATGAGCTAGAATTGGGCATGTTAGCCCTCAACTTGAATTGCGCTTGGCTTTTGTTAGTCAATTTCTGTCTTTGTTATTCTGGCTTGGGCTTGAAAATTAGAGCCAAATCTTTGCTCAACCATTTAACTTGCTAATTTAACCAACCCCTTAGATCATATAGAGTTCTGTTGATTTTCTGCTTTCTTCATTTGTTTGTATCTATTATGAGGTGTTAGTGTGTTACAGTTCAGAAATTTTGTTCTCCACTAACAAAAGATGGCTATATATATATTTCAAAAAGAAAATGGCTATATATGGTACCTTCTTGACTAAAGTCACGCTCATCTTCATCTTCTGTTGTGTCATCAGATATTTATTATTGCTTTGCATCTTGTGGCGAGTGCCCCTCCAAAGCTTTTTAAATCACAAATAATTAGAGTGAGCTCATGAAGCTTGTGTAGAAATATCTTCCAGCCGTGTGAGGAAATGTTTTTAGCGCAATTGGGCAGGAGTATGTTAGCTAATCTACTGTCACCTTGTGAGAACATAGCAGAGGAAGGCGACGCCGACTTAGCTGCCTGCTATGTGTGAACACAGCAAGGAAAGGCGGCGCCGACTTTGCCCCTTGCTGTGATACAGTAGCCGCTGCAGGTGCAGGCGCCGCACGGCTCACCTGCAGCACTGTAGGAACAGGCAGTGGCCGACGCAGAGTCAGCCCTGTCAGGTTATCTAGTTACTGTGCCAGCATGGACGCTGCACATGGACTAGATAGTTAGAGTTGTATAAATAGACATGTATGACAACTCAGTAAAGAGAGCTCAGATTTGCCATCACACAGACAGGGCTTTGGCCAACGCTGTTGCCTTGTATTATGCGTGCTTGCTCTGTTCTCCCTTCCTCTTCTAGCTCGATCCGTAGTGTGTGGGTACGGACAACGCCGGTACATGGTCTGCACGGCTAGTGGGTGCTCGGCAACACTAGCGCGTGCTCGGCGAGACCGACAAGTGCTACACTCGCCTGAGCCGGTGTTCGGCAAGATCGGCTGGAGTGGTTCACTGTCGTGAGCCGGTGATCCTGTGAGACCAATGGAGTGGTCTGGAGGCTATCTCGGTGGTCTGGAGGTTGCAGGTAGTGGTCGGAGGCTGTGGTCTCTGGTCTGGAGGCTATCTGTAGTGGTCTGGAGATCATCTCAGTGGTCGGGAGGCTAACTGTGGGCCAACAGAGTAGAGCAAAAGAATGTTTTTACAAGCAGTTGGGGCTGCAAACGAAGAGAACATGAGAGGGAAACTTTTTTGATCTATTGACAGCCCTGTACACATGGGGACGTTGTACATAATGCAAAGGAGCGTAGTTGGCAACATCCAGTCATCCACCTTGATTGCGTCTGCTTCTTCCCTTCCAAATATTCCTGGTTGTGTATATGATGATTTGTATTCGGCGATGGTCTAGTAGTTGTGTCCTTGATCCTCACATTGCTGTCCACCATGTTTCAAGGTTGTCATTACCAAGCATTTGCTGTATTTCTGTTACGTTCCCTAGGAGGCAACCATATTCCATACCGCTCTTGAGTCGTAAGTAAATTCCAAATTGCTTCCGTTCTTCCGTTTGCAACATGTACACAGGCACACAGCCCAGAGGTAAACGGAATTAGGGAACAGATGTGCCTAAATCGGAACATCCGAGACCACCGAGTCCGAGTCCATTGCTCGACTCGGAAAGAAGCTACTCCAACCCCTAATTTTTTATAATTTGGTTTTTTTTGAAGAAAAATTATATTTGGCCTCCTAAGAGACTTAAACTCATTTTTGACCCTGGGGGTCGGCGCCAGGAATCATGGCGCCGAGGTGCCTGACCGAGCATTGCAAGCCATCCTAGTTGGCGTTCACGTGGCCGGCACCTCGGCGCCGAGCTCGGCACCATGTATTCTGGCGCCGAGCATTTATTTAAAATCCGAAACCAAGTTTTCCTTGCCGACGCTGGTCTCATTTCTTCATCCCCCTCTCGGTTTCTTCCTCTCCCTACCCCATCCAATCTCTTAAATCGACGGATTTGACCTTGGATACTTGGATTTGATCCATACATCTTCGCGAGCAATGTATCCTCTCTCTCCTTATCAAATTTTACGCATTGATTTGGTATATATTACGTCTATTTTGCAACCCTAGATACGTTACTACCTAATGTTTGATGTGATTTTTTATTTTTTGTATTATGTGATGGTAGGATGCCAAGGCATGTTAAAGCTAGTAAGCCAAGGTAATCTTTTATCATCGTGTTATATTATTTTTTTATTTTTTGTATTATGTTTTATTTTTTGTATTTATGTTCAATTGTAGTTATGGTCGGATGACCGGAAATGCCTTCGACCCGTTGCCTCTGCCTAGTGGTGTTCCAGTGCCCATGTGCTTTTACGGCGATCCTTGCAAGGTAGCCAAGTCCGATGAAGAGGACATATATAGGCAGAGGTATTGGATGTGTGCCAATTTTATGTTTGAGTCTACACTTCGTTAGCGCCGCATTAACAAGATGGTGAGAATTTAATATTGTTTAATATTTATTGTGTCAAATGAAGTCTTGCATGATTTATTTGTTTTGTAACAATTTTATTTATTACAGATCCCTCCACCGCTCTGTGATTTTGAACAGTTGATCGACACTGAGATCAAACCGGAAGACAAGTACTGGATGCAGAAACTGTTACGGTGGAAGGCAGAGGACAAGGAGATGATGAAGAAGGGACGTAGAGAGGAAGCTCTAGAAAAGGAGCACAAGGAAGTGGAGGAAAGGAGGCGTGTTGCTTCGCACAGGGAGGAGAGGGAGAGGAAGCTTGAGCATGCGCAGCGAGCGAAGACAGCGATGGAGGAGAATCCCGATGCCCAGAAGAAGGAAAAGTGGCCTCGTTGCACTCAGTAGTCTTTATGA